TTGAGCCGGTTTCTCCCTCCATCTTATTCCCCATCGCCCTCTCCCAGGGCCTGGGATCATCTCCCCTCTCCCGCACAGCCTGTGCCCCCCAGGGCTGGGGCTCTTCTTTGCTCCTTTTCCTTCCCTCCCCGCTCTGCAGCCCAGGCGCCCCGTGTCCCATCCCATCACTGCAAGGTCCGGGATCTTCCGGGGCTGTTTCCCTGTCAGCTCCCCCTTTTCCTTCCAGCCTTGTGTCTGGGACTCTCCTGTCCCAGCTCTCCTTCCCCGTTAACTCTCCCTTGTCTGGGATTCCTGTTGTAACCCATTTTCCTTGGTCTGTGCTATCCTCCCCTCTTCTATCTTCCATAGCATAAGCTTTAAAAGGTGCGGACCCCTCCAAGATCCTCTTCCTTCCCTGGAATTTGCCTGGCAGCCTTGTTGGGTGAGGGTCCTGCTTCCCTTTGCTGCCTACCACCCAGCTTTGAGCACCCTTTTCCCTGCAAGTCTATGAATTAGAGAAAAGAAGAGAGTCGGGAGTCTCTCCCATGGCTGTGCGCTGATGTTCCCTATCCCAGCGGCGTTCAGCCGGTGGTTTGCCTGTGTGATGGGCTATGAGGGTGACCGAGGAGGCGTTTTTGCCTGTTGTCGTTAGGTTAAATGTCAGTAATAAGCATTTCATGCCGTTTCTGGAGACTTTTCCACTGTCTGCTGGTCGTACGTGGGATCTGCCAGCCCTGCAGAGTGAGCTCGTATGGTTAGGGTGATGTTAAAGGTGAGCGTGGGGAGGAAAGGAGGATCCCTGTTCCAGCCCGATCTATCTGGGGCTGCTCATGCCAAAAACATGTAAGTGAGTAAAGTAAAACTGCCGAGTCTGTGGTTTCTCTGGGTCTGCTTTTTCCCTAAGGAGTCTCGTGGTTTCAGGGGTCAAGCTTGAGAAACTTCCGTGGGTCTCCTTTTCCTAGAAAACATAGTGCAAACTTTTGGGTTTTATGGTATCGACCATTTCCAGATACCTAATTTGACGTGGTTTTTTTTGTAAATTAGGGAAAGCTAAAGAAGACAAGGCAGGGGTAGGCAAGTGTACAGGTGACCGCAAAGGCGGGTGTAGGAACTTGAGCTGGGCAGAGAAGTGGTTTAAAGCTGAGGGAGGTTTCCTTCTTGTGCTGTACCTGTAAATGTGTGATAAAGTCAGAGAAAGTAGAGGTTGTTTATTTTTTTTAAATGTTTTTTAGATGGGTTTTATGTGTTTTAGAAGGAGGACGCTTCTTGTGCGGTAGCCATTTAGTCCTCCGTATGCAATTCCGTTACTTCAGCTTGATGTCAGAACAACAAAAGCTCATTTCTTTCAATGAAAAGTAGCGGTGAAGAGAGCTCTGCGGGGCAATCCTCGGCCCTTCCCAGTGGCCGCGGTTTTCCTGGGATCTCCCTCGGTTCCGTGCTCTGCGCGGCTGCACCTCGTCGATGAAAAACCCGGCAGTTGGGAGGAGAAATCAGCTCGGCAGGCTGCTGGTGCTGGAAGAGGCTGTTGCGGGGGTGTTAAGTACTCCACCACGCTCCGGCACCGCGGGGCTCCAAGTATTGCATCAGAGGCGCCCGGTCGTGCGAGAGCCCCCGGAGGAGGCTCAGCTCTGGGTTTCTTGTACAAAACACATATTTTGCTGGTCCTGTGATGGAAAGAATCTTCTACCCCACCCAAAAGGAGACACTTTGCAACTATTTTGAGTTCCCGACTTCTTCCGGCTACGGCAGCAGGTCCAACAGAGGTTTTCAAATGGAGAGCGCTTGGCAGCCAGCGCCACCGGCGTGCGGAGGAACCGCTGCTTGTCTGGCTGCGGAGAAACTCAACGCCATGTGGAATCACTTACTTTTCTGTATTTAATATGCGAGTCAGATGTTCTAGCGTATACACAACGCCGGGGATACGGGGTTATGCTCCAAAGCAATAAACAGATATGACTGATGGTCAGAGCAGGCTCTGCTTTGTGTCTCTCGGCTTCTCTTCATCTTTTCTTGGAGTGGCAAATCCGAAGGGCAAGCCTCTGACAGGAGCCGCCCCGTGCGGGTTAAGCCGGGCTTTGTAAATCCGTGGGTCGCCCCCACACAGATGGGTGACGGAGGTTTTTTTTAAGAAGATGAGCGTTTCCCTCAGAAATGCAAACAAACAGACAAAAAGGTATCGACTGGTGCCAATAGTGAGAGTTCTGGTGTTTTGAGCTGGTAGAGAGACTTGTTCTACTTGCAGGCATTTAAAATACCTTTCTTTACACCATGGGTTTCCCATTAAACGTGACCTCATGCAAGGTGCAAAGATAACATCACTTCTTCAGCATCTTTACCTGCGTTCAAACTGTCCAGTCATTTTTCTCTCTGCTCTCTCCCCAGCCCGAGCACTGCATTGTGTTTCACGTTCCATACGGGATTAAAATCCTGCAGGGTGCGGAAGGCATCCCTGCTTTTTCGAGGACCATCCTCTCGCAAGCGTGAGGCGTAACGGGATTTAGGACCCTTTCTGAGAAACAAAAGCAAACTTCGCATCTCCTGCCCCTCTCCCCCACGTCACTATTTTGGGATTTAATGGGAGGAGGGAGGTGCACGAGCAAGGCTGAAAATCGTCAATCTGGAGCAAATTCAGACTGAGATTTCGCTTCGGATTCAGCGCTCAGCCATTTCTCTGCTCAATACGACACGTAGCAGGAGCTGTGCTGAGGCGAGGGCAGATGGGCCAGTCTCTGTAGCGACGGGGTTTGCTCTCCAGCCCTCTAAAAGCATATTGTTCTGAAGCATTTGTAGAGTTTCAATTAGGTATTTTACTCTCTTGTCTCCTCAGCTGTCTGACCTATCGCTCCAGTCGCTAACGAAGTACCCAGCCAGCGTCTGGCACAGAGGAACCCTTGTCTTGGGCTGAAAACACAATTCCGTGCCCGTGTTGCGCAGCATTTCCTCGTTAACCTGCTCTTAACGCCAGCTTCTCCGACTTCACTAAATTAAACCAAATTCTAATTTCTCTGAATTTTCAAAGTAATTCCATTTGTTGTTGGAATTTACGTTGCCTGATGTAGCTCGGCTTTCTCTGCAGTTTCTTGTGTGGTCGCTGCTGCGAAGTCTCAGTTGCCCCATGCCAAATGGTCCCTGAAGCCGTTATTGAATCGGGCATTGTCTCCCCAAATCCGTTGGGGATTATGTGCATGATTTACGCTGTCCCTGGGAAGGGAATCTGCCTGGGTGGATGGGAATTCTGTCTGGGTATCGATGCACTGGAGAACTGGCGGGGAATTGTGTATTGTTTGTATGGGTTGTTTGTTAGTCTTCAGTGGAAAATTGCCCCTGTCTTGCATGTTTCACAAAAAAACCAACCCAACCCCACCCCAAATTAAACTTGAAAATAATCCAAAGCGACTGCTTTATGAACGTTAGCGCGTGGCCTCAAATTAACCTCCCTTTTATATCTTACCCCGGAGACTTCGAGAACAGCGGCCTTGTCTCACTTGGTGCTCTGCCTCGCTGCTTGCTGCGTTGTATATAGCTCCTCACAGAAGAGCTTGCGTGGGGATTTTGGGGGGGTTTTGCTTAAAAGGAGAACTCTGGAGTGGAGTCCTTTTAACAACTCTTGTGTTAGCGAGGAGTTGCTGTAGTCTGTCTTGCAGATTGCCTCTCTTCAAAAGTGATTGCTGGCATGAAAAAGGCTCGGAGGAGGAGTGCTGAGGGCAGGCTTTTCCTACAGCTACCTGTCAAACTGCAGCGTAGAAAGAAGCTTAGATCAAATTTGATGGGACTTAGAGGGTTAGATGCTGTGAGGGTCATTTTTCTCGCCCAAACCTTGACAAAATAAAGGGTGGGTAAACTTAGAGCACCTCAAAGGAAGTCCTCACCATGCCGGGGCTTCAAAAATTAAGAGAACGACAGGACAGCTGGCTCATTGCTACAGCAAACATCTCTAGTTCTTGGAGGCATGTTAAAATAAGAATTTAATCTCGGGGATTTGGCTACAAGCCGCTTGCCGCATGGGCTGTGTGCATTCATTGGCCGTGCACGGTGTGGACGAGCTGCCGGGTTGTTAAAAGCTGGGTAAGCGTTCTGACCCCGTGCAGCAAATCTGGTGCTCCGGAAGAGATGCCTGCTTCAAAACGCCTCTCCTGAAAAGGCTGTAATTACCAAAGTCAACGTTTTAGGCTCTGGTTTCCTAACTGGGATGGAAAAAACACTTACTGTTAACAAAGCTAATCCTGGTTTTAGTCAATGCTTCACCGTTCGGTTATATGTCCTGCCATGCCGAATGGCACAAACGAGATTCTCCGATTAGATGTTTCCGTTCTCCTCTGTGCTGTTACACACTCTCTATGTCAAATACTCCCCGGGCAGGGCACTGCTTGTGTCGGTGGGAATACACTAACGTTCACGCCGTTCTTTTTCTGGATGTGGGCGATACCTGAGGAAACCAGCTTCCTCTTTGTTTTCTGTGTCTGAACTTGATTCTATTTCTGTCTCAGTGAACGTCGTGGAGGCCCTTCAGGAATTCTGGCAGATGAAGCAGTCGCGTGGAGCTGATCTGAAAAACGGAGCGCTTGTGGTGTACGAGATGGTCCCTTCCAACAGCCCCCCTTACGTCTGCTATGTCACCTTGCCGGGAGGGAGCTGCTTTGGCAGTTTCCAGGTACGATCGATCCCTGCCGCGTAGCTCGTTCTCCAAAGCAATCCAGCTTGGGTGCCCTGAGGATCTTTCCCCACCAAAGGGAAAACTGAGCGCGGTGTTAACATTTTCCGGCAGATTCGAAGCACGAGAATGACATGTAACCCTCTTTAATTTCAAGCTGGCTAGTAAGTGTTCCTAATTGCCTATAAAACCCCGCCCGGCTTAATCTGGGAAGGTTTGGCTGTAAATTTTAATTTGCTGTATGTACTGTGCTTCTACACGTGACTGACCTTAGCAGTGCTGTGTTACGTGGTATCAGGGAAAACTGCTAGATTGGCTGGGTTTGGTACTTTGTTCTCCTTCCCAGGACGAAGCGGTGGGATTGTGTTTACAGGATGCAGCTCGGACAAACTGGTAGAGCCATCTTTCCTTGCAAAGGCTCTGGATTTGACCCAGAACCTCTTCTCGAGGTGCCAAAACTCTAGAAATCAAATCATAACATCGTATCAATAGTTTCTCCCCTCTTTCTGTTTAAAAGGAAAATGTCCAACCCAAATACCTTGCCCAAAAGATTAAGGTCCAAAAATCACAACGGGTCCTGACTGCATTTCGGATTCCTTCGCTGTAGTGGCTTTAGGCAGTTACTCTCTAGTCTTGGGTTGAAGAACGCATCCAAAAGCAACAGTTCTAGCAGCTACGCAGTCTACCCACCCTGAAGAGCAGTCCTCGTGCTTCAGAGTAATTTGGTTACGTTTTGGTTTTAAGCTAATTAATTTTGTTGACGATCTGATTGGTGGCATTTCCTGATGCAGATGCTATGTGCTGAGTTCAGCTGCCTGCCTAATTTTTGTGTTGAGCGTGGTTGGGATAGCTGTGGTTTAAAACCAGCTCCTAATTATTTCAGGATGGCTGAGAGCACGACTTTCCAAAACTACACAACACTGCCACCTAATTCCCGTTTCGTGTGTCGGGGCGGGGGGAGAAGTTTGGAGGGGATCTCGGTCATCTCGCCGTCTTTCTGTCCTCTTGTTTTGTCTCTCCTCAGTTCTGTCCAACCAAGGCTGAAGCCCGAAGGAGTGCCGCAAAAATTGCGCTAATGAACTCGGTCTTTAACGAGCATCCCTCCCGGAGGATCACAGATGAGTTCATTGAGAAGAGCGTTTCGGAGGCCCTGGCATCTTTCAACGTAAGGCTTTTCAGTGCTTGGCCAGCAGCAATTGATGGGGACGGATTGACTGGGGGAAAAACCTCAAATCATGGGAAGAGAAGTTTTCTTTTACATCTGGAACTCTTTATGGCAGTATTTTATTTTTCTTTTCAGTGACTTCTGAGTATTAAAACTTTTAACTGCAGCTCTAATTCTTGTTCTCCTGCTTCCCCTCCCGCACGGTCTCACACTCTTTGATTGTGTTGCCCTCAGACCAGGCAGGGTAGGATGATACGACTGAGATTTTGATTCGTGTGGCCCTTCTGTGACCAGGTTGTCACATTGGCTAGCTTTCTTTAAACCAAATATTTTCTAAAAACTTTGGTTTCTAGTGGCGGGAGCTTTGCATTCTTCTTTTACTGCTCTAATTAAACCTTATCCCGGAGGGAGTTCTTGCTGTGCAGTCACGTGGCGCTTGACGATACCCAGAATATTGTAACAACTTTGAAATCACTGTAATGGGCTGCAGAAAAAAAAAAAAAAAAATTAATCCGGTTTCAAGTGGCATTGTCAAAAGCAGAGCGGGCTTTGTTACTCCAAGAGAGCCGTAATGAAAGATGCAGGTATTTGAGGCTGAATTAGAGCGGTTAAGCGCATCTGCCGGCACGAGGCCGTCCTCCTTAATCTGACCTGGAATTCCTGAAGTGGAGGTGATGTAGCAGAAGTGGCAGGTACCGGGTGAGCCACGCTCGGTCGGGAATTGCAGCTCCCGTATGAAATGTGTCTTGCAGGGCAATCGAGAGGAAGCTGATAATCCCAACACCGGGATCGGCGCTTTTCGCTTCATGCTGGAATCCAACAAGGGAAAATCAATGCTGGAGTTCCAGGTACCGTTCTTTACGTTCAAAATAAAGGCGGGGCTTTCCTCTTAGAACACGGCTCGGGATTTGTGGCACTTTCAGGTGCTGGTATGCCAGTGAAATATTTGGAATTGGGCTTCTCGCTGTAAATGCTCTTTGGTATTTGCTTGATGCAGTGTTGCAAAGGGGTTGTGCGTTCTTCCGATGCAGCGTTTTCAGCGACACAGGTTTTAGATAAGTGGTGCTGGAGGCCCAGACGATACCTCCGGGTACCTTAGCCCATGGGTGAGCCGTTTCGTTTGTGGTTTTTATCCTCTCCCTGTAAAACAGGAGAGATCTCGCTTCCCTTATGAAAGCTGGTGAAGATCTTTCATCCAAAGACATTTTAATTGTGGAATTAGGAGCCGCGATTACTGTCGTTACATGCCCTCAAACCGCAGCGTTATCTGAGCAGTCTTCGTATCCTACTGAAATATGCTCGGTCTGTCTCTCGTTACGACAAAACATCTGTGAAATGAAAAGTACAAACTGCTGAGGGAAACTGCTATAACACTTATCAGTTCTGGTTAATGGGGCAGGAGGAGTCCGGGCAGAACAGATGACTGAGAGCTGAGATTCTTCTGGGCTTTATTCCAGATTTTCTGAGGAAACCGCTCCTACGAGCGGAGCAGAGCAGCCAGGTAAAGAATTCTGCGTGTGATTTGTTGGCTTTGAGCGCACTCCTCGTCCTCGAGCGGGACGTCTGTCCCTGCACGTACAGAGATGTTGTTCTGACGGTGCTTTTCGATTCGTGAATCCTTTTAATTTAAACTTGGGTTTCAAAAGTAACTTGAAACGATTCTTGTACAGACGAGTTGACTCTTAAGTGCACCAACTGGAACTGGAATTTTAGAAGAGGAGAAATTAGACCGTGATTCTGCTCCAGACAGCGAAGCAGGGCTTGGATGCGTCTCAACGTCTGTAGTGTTGCTGTATTTGGGGTTCTTTTGCTGCAGGCAAACTTTTCCTGAAGCTGGTTCCTTGCCTGGCTCCTTTCCCTTGAATGGAAATTCTCAGGAGGCGGAAGACAGAAGTGTTTATCTTAATGGGCCTGTTTACACAGGGTGGCTCTGTTATGTATATTCCTTAGGCTGTGTTTGTGTTTGGGAAGCCTAACTAGTCCCTGCGAGTTTATGAAGCAAAATTTGTGTGGCCTTGAGAGGGAAAGGTTTGCTTGGCAAACGTCGGATTGTCACCCACTCTGGCTGGCGGTTTAGCTTGGAGGTTGCAAGATGACAGAGTCTGGCTTGCAGAATCCTGAAATTCCTGGGGCAGAGCGAAGCGTCGGCATCTCTGTCTCCTCTGAAATCCTCTCATCTGGTCGGGGGATTTTTATCTGGTGGGGTGAGCCGGGCTTTGCCCTTGCGTCCCCGCTCCTCAGATGTTGGTGGTGCCTCCCGCCTCCCCCGCTTCTGTGGTTTTCTGGTCTTTTTGGATAAATCTTAACTCATTACTGCTGCGAGTCTTTCATTTACGGACTCCGGAGTTGCAAACAGACTCCGCGATCCTTGCAACTGCGAAGGGCCGGACGTGACGTTGCGAAGTCTTCGAAAACTCGCTTGGCTGCTTGCAACGCTGAATCCTCATCCCCGCGTTTGCTCGCAGCCTGACCGCCTCTTGCCGTTGCAGGAGCTGATGACCGTCTTCCAGCTGTTGCACTGGAACGGCAGCCTCAAAGCCATGCGGGAGAGGCAGTGCTCGCGGCAGGTGAGTCTCTCGAGCAGTCCTGCTCCGGGGTTACGACAACCTTCTCCTTAAGCTTCCTTGTAGCTGGCAAGGACGCCAGACGTTACTATGTAGTCCCACGTAGCGATTTATTTTTCCTAAGCTCCCCTGCATGTGTCCGTTACTACCAGGAGGTCCTGGCTCACTACTCCCACCGCGCTCTGGACGATGACATAAGGAACCAGATGGCCATGGACTGGGTGAACAGGGAGCAGAGTAGCCCGGGGGCTCTTTCCAGAGAGCTGGCTTCGACCGAGAGAGAGCTGGACGAAGCGCGCCTGGCCGGGAAAGAGCTGCGTTTCCATAAGGAGAAGAAAGATATCCTGATGCTGGCGGCGGGCCAGCTGGGGAGCGTGCACTCCTCCAACTGCTAGACTCTCGCGTGCAAGTCGTTCTGTTCCATTCCCGCCCGTTCAGTCCCCCCCCCCCCCCCAGGCCTACTAACACCTCCACTGACGGGATCCGTCCTGCGTCACGTAAAGCATGTCATGCCTCTTCCAGAATTGTGGCCCGTTTGCACATTTTAAAGATTTTTTTTTTTTTTAAAGAGGGGAAAAAAAAAAGAAAAGCTCCTGTACAGATTTTTAATACTTGCTTCTAGACCTACTCCTCAGCCTCCTGGCCGCTAGAGAATTCCTTCTGTCACTATTTTTATTTTTTATTTTTAAAGACAGTATTAAAACCGCAGCCTTTCGGTATTAGCACCGAAGACCTCTGCTGTCCGTGGGTACCATGTAGTCGGCAGTATTCCCCGCGGTGTGGCACTTCTTCCAGAAACTTCTGTTCTTTGGGGCTGGTGCGTGTCATGCAGACCTGCTTTATTTTATTATTTTTTCTCTTTTTCTGCTTTTATAGTAGAGGGAGGTCTATCAAAACTCCTCCTTGATAAGCACCCTAATTAAAAAAAAACCCAACGAAACAAACCAGCCAACACATTCTCTTTAACACCACAGCGCGAGCTGCGTGGGGGAATACTCCCAAGCGCTTAAAAGGGA